CCACTTCCGCATCGTAATGACTTTAATTATCCAATTATGTCCCTCGTTTGAGATCTCTACAAGAATCTGCAAGGTCATTTCTTCATCATGGACAGTTTACACCCGACAACAGCTGTTTACCGAAGAGCGGAGGGTGAATATGGGTGGAGAGAAGAGGAGTGAAAGAGAAGAAAGCCTGTATTATGGAAGACTGAGCTTTTGAAATAAGAGTTTGACGTAGTGTGTAACCTCTGAAGTTTCACTACTTTGCAGTGCATACAGTCCAAATGTGGAAACAAAGCCTCAAAAACAGCCAAGGTTTAAATTTGTTTTTGTGATGTCACAACAACCAACGCATTTCAACCTATTCAGCCTACAGCAGCTTAGCTCCGCCCACTCTCACTGAAGTTATAAAAACTGTTTCAGACTGGTTTGTAAATGAGGCACAATATAAGTCAGCCAATCAGAGCAGAGATCATTTATGTATCGCTGTTGTCGGAACAAAACCTTGTATCTCCAAAATGGTAACTTTACAGGAGAAGGAAAAAACCTGCTTTACTTTTAATGTAAGTCAGTGGAACCAGATTTTTTTTTCAAGTCATTTTGGGTCATTTCTTTTAGTACATTCAACATGAATTTTACACAAAATGTAAAGGACAAGGCATTTTCAAATTGTCAAAAACTGAAAAATGCAGTAACAAAATCAGGAAAATGGTCGTGTAAAAATGAATGTTGAATATTTTTGGGACATAAAACCAAAAAATGATGCGAGTGCAGGATATGGGCCCTTTAAAGTACCCGAATGTGAGCATATGTTTTGATTTCTCACTCTAATAACTACATCAATTGCATAAGAAAACTGAAAAATCATATTTAAAAATGTGTAAGTTTGGTGTGTTGGGAATCAATTTCAAACCAAGTGGCCTTTTTTTTAAACATACCTTTCCTCCGCTGTCATTTTCTTTCTGGTAAAGTGTTCTTTTAAACGTGGCTGAATGGTTTTTAGTCCGAGTTCATGATTCATCAGTGAACATGAGCTCAGTGACCGCACTGTAAGATAAACAGCTGCAGACTTTGAGGTTTCCACCTCAGAGCTTTGCAGAAGCCTCAGTGCAGTTCTTCTCCAGACGTTCTCCTCACAAAGACTCCACCATCAGGGAAGAGTGATTGTGTTGAGCTGTGCTCAGCACAGTTGAGTCTTCATAATGCGAATCGCAGTAGAACGTGATGTGGGTTGGATCCTACATTGCTTCCAGACCCACAGGCTGGCAGCACTGACCACAGATGTGGTCACTTCCAATATGAGAAACAGACTTTTACAGTGCCTGTCAGAAGTTTGGGGACATTTTGGCTTCTTAGAAATGTGAATTTTTCTGTGGCTTTTCAATAAAAATAGCCCTGCTTTATGTTATGATTATGTACAGCTGTGCACTTAAAAAGGTTCTTCAGGGTTCCTTGGTAAAAAAAAAAAAGAACCCTTTACACAATTAAAGCATTCTTTGCATCGTGAGAGAGTTATTCTCCATCAATCTGAAGGTGTTTTATATGCTTCTATATTGAGTCTTTTTGAAAAGGTGATGCATTTCACAATGCAAAGAAACCTTTATTGATGCGAATGGTTCTTTGAGTGTTCATGGTTCTATATAGAACTGTTGTCTTTATTAAAGAACCCTTGAAGAAACATCATTCTAAGTGAAAATAAGTATTGTACTGTAGTTTGAATTATTCTAAACTCCTATAACTTCTATAAACTTTTCTAAACTATTGTTTAAAACACTTATTGAAAAAAATGTGCTTTAAATAGCTGAAAGGTTTGAGTGCTGACATCACAACAAGAGGATAAAATGAATTTGTGTTGTCTTTATTCCCAAACTAGCACTGTCAATGATACTGACACTAATATTTACATGAGTCTCCCTGATTTAGTTTTATTATGGTCACGTATTATAAACCAGTATAGTTAATCACTTTGTCCAAAAACGGACATGAACTTCAATATTGTAAAGTTGTGTTTTTTATTCTGATTATTCAAAATGTCAGTATAACTAAGTGGTTGAGATGTAAACACAGTCGTTCAGAGTGGTTTGGTGTGAAAAGCTCTGTTCTAGAGAAACTAGCCGAGTCAGGATTGTTCACAGTGGTGGTGATAGGAACCAGATGTCCACCTCTAAAAGCTCCCTCACAGAAAGTTACTACATGAAATGGTTATGAATTCACTGCCTGATGACTGAGACACTGTTTCACGATAGTCTTTTTGTGGATTTTGGCCTAAAACGTACAATTTTAATTGCATTCATAGTGGAGGGATATATGCAGGGTGCTGTGAGGCAAAACAGTCCCCAAAGAAAACTTAAATTTATGGATTTTCCACTATTTTCCCATCATCAACGTTCCATATAAGCTCAGAAGACTCGTGTAGGTTCACTGGTGGTTTTGGATAGTAAATAAAATGTCTATATTTGTGTTGTAGTCATGGCAACCCCTGTTTCCTATCACCACCACTGTGAAGACATCTTAACCATTTCACATCAAACCCCTCTGAATGACTCTGTTCACATCTCCACTATGAAAGAGTGATGAAATCCCCCTTTACAGTTAGCTTAATGATGGTAACACATCAGCCGTCTGCAGACCATTCAGATAGACGTCTCATTAGATTCTGGCACAGTGTGGAGGTGAAGACACTGTTACTTGTTCAATATCTCTGTAGCAGAACTTCAGTTAAGTTAGAGACTTGTTGTGGAAACGTGTGGCGGCCAGGTTCCCCCAGCAGCTCTGATTTGGGGGGAAAAAAAAAGTAGAGAAACAGGAATTCAGTTCAGGAATGTCTTCAATCAGCATGTGTGTAATGGAAGACTGATTCTCTAAGGGACCTGTAATGACTACATTCAGGCTCCTATAACATTGTATGCAAATGTGGGCCCAGATCAGGTAACACTGGATTATAAATAAACAGAAAGTGTGCACTAAAGTGCTGTATTTACACGTGTTTACTGTGGAGGACGTGTTGACTTATTTACACTTAGGACATCAACAAAACAAGGCATTTGACCAGGGATGTGCAAACTTTTGCGTGTAATTATGTGTAGTACATGTTGTTGTTGTTGTTGTTGTTGTTGTTGTTGTTGTATGGGTACATAAATAAAATCCATAGGGGCCACAAGTGTGAAGCGGTATGTTAACAGGAGTGTTAATATCTTTTAAGTATGACTTAACAGATGTTAACGCTGGTGAAGTCCAGTGTGGTGTATCAGGCTCAGACGCTCAGCTGTAGTGCAGGTCGATCAGTTCAGCTCTCAGCTCTGTGTTTCACCACAAACATTAATCTGACTATTAATCACCATCAGCTCCCTCCACTGTTTATCTTCAGAGTAGATCAGACTCAGAGCTGCAGGGCGCTCACCTGCTCCTCACCTGCTGAGGAGAACACCTGGACACACATACACTTGCATACACTCTCTCTCTCTCTCACTCTCTCTCACACACACACACACACACACACTCACACTCTCTCTCTCTCTCTCTCTCTCTCTCTCTCTCTCTCTCTCACACACACTCACACACACTCACTCTCTCTCACACTCACACTCTCTCACACACACACACTCACTCTCTCTCTCACACACACTCACACACTCTCACACATGTGCACACACAAAATTATTCAGACTGACTGCTTCTTTTGTTTGAGTGTGACATTTTTATGCCTCTCTCTCTCTCTCTCTCTCTCTCTCTCTCTCTCTCTCCCCCGCCTATTCTACGTCTTTCATCTTTCACTCTCTCTCGCCATCTCTCCATGTGTTTTTCCTTTTCTCTCCTCTCTTTCTATTTTTCCATGTCTGTCTCTATTTTGCTTTTTCTCACATCCTTTCTCTCTCTCTCTCTCTCTCTCTGTCTCTCTCTCTCTTTCTTTCTTTCTTTCTTTCTCTCTCTTGCACTTTCTCTCTCTCTCTCTCTCTCTCTCTCTCTCTCTCTCTCTCTCGCCCTCTCTCCATGTCTTTCTTTCTCTCTTACCCCCTCACCCTCTCTCTCTCTTTCTGTCTCTCTCCATCTCTCCATGTCCCTCTCACCCTCTTTCTATGTCTCTCTCGCCCTCTCTCTCTTCTCATCCTCTCTCCATGTCTCTCTCTCTCTGTCTCTCTCTATTTCCTGTGATGTCATCAGTCTCTCTGGCATCCTAGTCATTTTTAAAGTACAGATGCAGGAATCCACTGAATACACTCTTGTCCGAAGAATGTTTCTGTGCGTGTGTCTGTGTCTGTGCACGTGTCTGTGCACGTGGGTGTGTGCGTGTATGTGTGTGTGTGTGTGTGTATATGTGTGTGTGTGTGTGTGTGTGTGTGTGTGTGTGTTCTCTCGTCTGCTAGTGAAATTTGCGCTCGTGTGTGAGAACATAATGGAGGGACTCTAAACACACGGCGGCGTCACGCCAGCTATAACTCAGAGCTGCTGTCCAGCGTCCAGCCTTTCAGTTTACACCAACTCAGTCACTGACCAGCCTGCTTCTCCTTTATGAGCCGCTCATTTCCTCAGCCTCTCTGTCTTTGGTTCTGCTGTGTAAAGATGTTGGCCAGAAGGCATAATTACTCCTTTATTTCATCCAGATGGAAATAAAACAGCTCGGTGTCTTATTTGGTGGCGAGGGCTCTTTTCCTGTCTCTCTGTCGATGTTTTAATATATGTTGTTCTTTCCCTCTTCAATTAAAAGTGCTAAAAACGGTTTGAAGCAGTGCAGCAAAGGAACAGAAGAACAATTTTGGTTCTTTTAAAGGAATTTTTTAGCTATCAGGACAAAACAGTGTTTCTCCAAACAGCTCAGTTTGCAGGAGAATGAAAAAATTTAACATTGAATGGAAGTTGATGGAGCAAGATCTCACTCTGGGTCATTTTGGACCGTTTCTGTTGATCCATTCATCATGAACATTTGACTCGGTGTAAATGGCAACTGATGTTTCACAATCACCATTGTTGTTATAGATCCCTCCATATTTGACTGATTTCTGCCTCGCTCTCTCCTTCAGGGTGGCCACGGACCACAACGTAGACAACACCACAGCTATGCTGAGAGAGTGGCTGATAAACGTGCAGAACCTGTACCACTATGTGGAGTGGAGGCCACAGGAGGAACCCAGGTGAACAGTGTTACCAACATTTGAACAGTTTACCGAAAAATAGGACTGTGTTTTAACCATATTTGACAGTTATGAATGGCTTTAACGCTTTACCATCTGACCCACTGAACGACAGTCTCAGCCCGGGACGCTCTGCCCCCGCGTAAACAGAGCATTTGATATCTTTCTAGTTAAGCTGCCCAGAACTATCAGCAGATTTTATCAGTCCGTCTGGAAACACACGATTGCGAGTCATCTCTCGCTCCGTGGGCTGTGACTGAGCCTTTCTGAGCAAGATGTAGTCGCTGGATTGAAAAGCAGAGTGAAATTCACAGCGTTACAGCTTTAAAGGTTGTTGGAGTTTTCTTTGAAGCATTTAGTAGCTTTTACTCCTGATTCCCATCTGCAAGTTTGTTTTCCATGGGTTTGTTTTGGTGAAACCTTTTGAAAAATTTGCCCATCACTGTACATCATGGTAAATCTGTGGTCTGTGATTGACAGGAATAGCCATTTGACTGACCTACCATATAAAAAGTACACAAGAAAAAAAGTTGTTGAATGTATTTACATGATTCAAATATGTTCCAGACAAATTAAATGTCACAATAATTTTTAATTAGGTAGATAAACTAAGTAGTTATACCTAGTAATTGTGTTGATTTCATTCATGTTGAGCCCATGCACACATTTGAATTATCCAGCTTTCACAATAAACACCTACATGTATGCAAAACACATATGAGTCACTCTACAGAAACGTCCACTTTTCTATCTCTCCATAGGAGTCACTGGTGTTACTGGTGATCCTCATTGGTGTTCCACATAATAAAGGGAACACCAGAGACATTTTTAATGAACAATACATTTTACAAAACGGCTGCTACAGAGCATCAAACCACATGTTGTCAATCATGGAATGTCCACTAAAATATGTTATTTAATCCATCTGTATTCTGTTTTTTCACAGTTACCTCAGAATAAAGTCGGTCACACCAGTGACTTCAGCTAAAAGCTTCATATGAAATCATGAGCTAAATGAGAAAATCTCTGATAACTGAAAGACACAGTGGACTCACCATGTGCTTTTCTTCATAGATCCTCAGAAAATAGGTAAAAGGAAGTCAAGTGATGTCATCAGTGTGACTTTTATTTCAAAATAAGAGATTTTTTGTTACGCGGTAACACCAGTGACACGACTCCTGGAGACAACAACTTTCATTATATATGTTATAATATTTATTTGACTTGTTTTCTATGTCATTTAATGAATATTTTTCATAGTCATGTTTAGATTATTGTAGTTAAAATTGAAGAAAAACGAAGGGGTAATTGTTAAAATAACTTGTTGGTTTATTTTAAAAAATAATTAAATTGTAACCCTAGCATGTTTTTTAAGTGTAATATATCTGTAAACACTAGGGACACAAAAATGGACATTTCTGTAGAATGACCCACATAAATATATATTTTTCTATTACAATCTACACATGCCTTCATGAATGCCTGATAATTCGAATTCCTCTTCAAAGCATGCTGGTGGCAGCATTAACTTAAGTTTGGTTTGTTAGGACTATATAATGTGAGCTTTCCATGTTTTTGAAAAAACAAAGTTAAATTCATGGCATTACAGATTTAAAGGTTATTGAAGAGTTTTCTTTTAAGCATTTAGTAGCTTTTAAGCCTGATTTCCATCGGCAAGTTTTGTGTTTCCCGTGGGTTTGTTTTGGTGATTGCTGTGTTTTTGGAAAATTCACCTGCCCATTACATCATGGTAAAACAGTGGTCTGTGATTTGTTATATTGTAGGTCGGTCAAACAGTACACTGAAGAGAAAAGCTATTCATTTTCATGATTCATCAATTCATCAACTTGAATTAAGTACATAAATTAAGTGCTTATATATAGTTATTATGCTGATGTAATATGTTCAAATGGGGCCCATGCACATGTTTGATTTATCTAACTTTCTCAACTTTACACCATACAGATTTACCACCTTTTGTTTGAAATATTTCCATAAACAGCTCTGCTTGAATGTCTGATTGGCTTAGAATGAAACACACTCAAACACCTAAACCACAGGTTGGCAACCCAAATGTTAAGAAGAGCCATTTTGTCCTTTCAACAAAAATCAACAACCTTGGGAGCCACAATGTTTTATGTCCATTTTACCATCTTGGCTGTAAATGTGTGTCAGTATATGCTGATGTACTAGTATAGACTAAAAATTATAATATTAATGAAAACACAGACTTACTTTGCTCTGCTTTAGGCTTTAGCTCAGCTATAGCCACTTTTCTCGCGTCTCCAGCAGGAAACTTTTCCTCAAAAGTGAAATAGTTTCTTGTAAAATGTCTCTCAGCATTAATTTGTACGAGGCTGAATTCGCTTCTCATTTTCTGGAACAGGAGAATTCAAACAAGAAGCTGGAGAATGAGAAATGACTTCAGCTTCGTGACCTTTTAGTTTTTGACAGTTTTTTGTTGCAAATTGAACATATCAGGAAACCAACTGGAGTGATTATAAATGCATTCGTCTCTAAATTATCGATGTTAGTTTGAAATCTTTCTCTTTGCCGTTTCATTAGCTACTAGCTAGGCGAGACTGTTGTCTGCACTGCTATGGTGATCAGCAGTCTGCGCTGATCTTCATGGTTAAAGGGTGAATTAGCAGTTCTACATTAACTCCAGCGTTAAAGACCATTTATTATTAAAACTGCATTGAACGATCAGCAGAGCTTTATTTTACTACAAAGGAGGATTATTTTATTTTTACCTAAACATCTAATTCTGCTGTGGAGCCACAACAGGTAAAGAGCTGCATGTTGCCGACCCCTGACCTAAATATATGCAAAAATCCATCCATTCCTCTGTAAAGCATGCTGGTGGTAGCATTAACTCAAAATTTGGTTTGTTAGGACTACATGATGTGAGCCTTCCTAGTATTTAGTCTGTTTTTGTTTGGTATTGGAGCTAAAAACACATTCAAGCTTTGCCTCAGTTTTCTTCTTTCTGTCCTTGCCTCACTATCTGTTTGTACCTGGTCTGTTTGTCAGTGAGTACGAAGATGAGGATGGTCCGAAGCACTGGTCCAACGAACGTTACGAGCATGTCATGAAGCTACGGCAGGCGGCACTGGAGACAGCGCGGGAAATGTGGGCCGACTACTTCCTGGTATGAGTTATATTCTTTTATTTATTATTATTATTTTTTTTTAAGTGCAACAAAACAGTAGAAGCTACACTTCGCGCCCTACACTTCCTGTAATGTATTACAGTCTGTCAGAATGACTGAGTTTTTCCTTGCCACAGTCGCCATTGGCGATGCTCATGGGGGCTCGGATTTTTTGCTGTAAAGCTGCTTTGTGACAACACCTGTTGTAAAAAAGCACTATATAAATAAACTTTAGCTTTCCTACATATTTTTCTTAAAAAGATTAAATTCAGGAATCTGATTTGGCACTCAAAGGTCCAGTTCAGGGCTGAAAGATTGATCTTTTTATATCGAAATCGCAATGTACGAAAGTGCAGTTATCAAATCACAGGAGCTGCAATTTTTAAAATTATAGTCTACATTATCAAAAATGTTGTCATAAGTGTTAAGTGGGGAAATTTAACCTAATACCAGAGAGCTTGTGAACTGCCTGTAGATGTGTTAGACCAATAAGAGGCAACCAAACCTCCATGTGTTCCTGGCCGTCTGGCACTCTACATTCAGGGGTCAAACCTCAAGCTTGAAAATGTGTATATTCTGGTCTTCTTGGCAAAAAAAAGAAAAAGCCTGAACTTGAACTTATAGAAAATAATGGCAATTTAAATCACAGTCGCAATATTAGTCAGAAAAATCGCAGTTAGATATTTACCCCACATCGTTCAGCCCTAGTCCAGGATCCCTCAATGACACCTGCTCTGAAATACTGCATTCCATTCAGGGATCTGCATTAAAAGCTCAGTTTTGGTTAGTCTTTATTTAAAGGTTGGAAGGAAGGAAAGCTATTTTAGAGTCTTACCTGCAGTCAGATTCTTTCCTCCTCTCCCTGTAAACAAGGCAAAGAAACACATGCACAGGAAAGTCAGAACTACATGGAAAAAACAACCTTGTCGCTTGCTGAATTCTGATTTTTGTCCCAATGTGGTCCATGTTTGTAGATAACATGGTGTCAAGTCTAGACATTACTTAAATCGCTGATATCACAGAAATCTGATATGATGTCTAGTTTCTAGCTATTTTTTTTTTTTCCCAAGAACCAAGTGTAGTATGTAAACATTATCGAATTTCAACAATGTACCATTCATTCCTGAGCCCATATATGGAATTAGCTGGCTGCTAACTCACTCAACAGAGCAGTGATGATGCTACAGTGGCACCAAAATGTCTCTGTTCTAGTGTGGTTCTGCGCTCTTCCTCACACTAACTGAGATCTTCCTCGTTTCCTCTTCTGTCTTCAGTGTGAGAAATGAGGAACAGTCACTCTTCACTCCAAACTCTTGGGAAACTGGGCGAGTTTTCAGATTTACAGATCTGCTGCAGCGCATTCTAAAGTTTTTCAGGAATCCGGGCAGAGTTACAGTTTCTAGGCTATGAAGGACCAACTGGGTGAACCAGTCTGCTACAGCGCCACCCTGAGGCAGAGCAGAGCTGCAGCTCTACATAGTTAAGAACACCAAAGACAGAAGCTGATTGTGGGTGAAGCAGATAAACGATCAGCTTCACTGAATCTGGATTTGAGTGTCTATTTTACCCTGATGGACAGCATGACATCTCAAATTTATCTTCAGGGACCCCCCCAAATTTTTGATTTTGAGGCATTCAGGGGGTCCAACAGGTTAATTAAGGGAACTAGGACCCCTGTATTTCACACTTTGCTTCTAGGTGATGTCGCTAGGAAACATAACAATTTTAATAGCTATGC